ATGTTTTCTTCTTCCGGCATAAAAAGAGAAGACAAAATTTTTACTATTTAACAAAACATTTAAAATGAAACATTACGATTAATAGATAATTGATTACTCTAAAAAATCTTCTAATATCTCTAATAGATACGACTACTCAGTTATGTTAAGAAGAGAAAAGTATGATTTCATATAGATTTGTCCATTTTTCTTTTTATTATATCATTGAAGAAAGGTCGATTATATCGATTAGAGAATAAATGGATATTTGAATGGAAAATGTTGAACTAATGGAGTGAGTGAGTAATTAAACGATAAATATCGTACATATAACAGTTTTCTCGTCTATTTTCTAATATAGAATAAACAAACAAAAAATAAAGTCTAGTCGTATATTATTACGTACCTATGAAATCGGTAGAGCATTTTTGCGTTTTGTTTTTGATTATTGTAATGTTCAAATTTCAAAAATGTTTTTGTGTTTTTCGTAATACGCACTAATGAATTTAATTAAATAATATTGATTCAAAGAATATATTTATTTTTTTCCATTATACATTAAAAATTTTCTCCATTATACATTAATAATTCTCTGCATTTCATTTCTTAATAATTAAACCATCGTTTACTCATGTTTGAGCATCCAGAAAATAGAATGACGATAATCATCACACGAACTTAAACCTCTCTCTTTCTCTATCTAACTTTGTCTCTTCCTCTCACTTTTTAATACGAGAACAAGAAGAAAAAGGAGGAAAAAAGAAGAGATTTTCTTATTTCTTTAATTTGTAGTATCATATCTCTCTTTTCTCGTCTTGTCTATAATTGTGCGTGTGTGTGTCTGTAGAAAAAAATTTTCCACACGTTTATTTTCCTTTTCTCACAGCTTTTTTTCTCTTGGCTATATCTATCTTTCTATTTTCAAGACAAAAGAATTTTTATTTTGCTACCAGTACTGGGTCTTTTTTCTTCTTACCCTTAGTCTCTATCTATAAATATATATATATCACTACTTTTTTTAAAACAAATACATAATAATTCTTTTCTTTTTTTTTTTTTTTTGCTTTGAACAAACATTACAATATGTCCTCGAGGACTTTTAAAGTAACATGTTTATAAGAAAACAGATGTTTATTATCGAAAAAGAAAAAAGAACTTAATCTACACGAGCTCATAATTTTTATAAAAACACAAAAAGATATTATTTTCATCTTTGAAGATACTTTGAAAGCTTAGTAAATTAGAATTAGAGTCGTTTGTATGTCGTTAAAAATTTGTTTCCGTTTATTATTCAGTAAAAAATTATAAAAATAAAATTATCGTTACTCTGTACGTTTAACCCAAATGAACATTTGAGATTAGAGTTTAGTATCATATTATACAGATACAACATTACCCTTCAGCTGTTCGATCACGTCATTCGATTGATTGAACAAACAAGCAGAAGAATAAAAAAAAGAAAAGGAAAAAAGAATCATATTAAAGATTTGAATAGGACAAAAATTTTCTAAATATTATCATCTTTTCAACGTAATCTTCCTAATCATACATCTATCTTATTTTTAGTTTACTAAAAAAATTTTTTCTTTTTTAACAAATAAATTTATGAGGTTTATTTTTACATTAGAGGAAAAAATTCAATTGTAAACCATATGTTCAAAGAAAGAGAAGGGATATATATATATCAAAAATACATTTAACAACGGCTGTTTCTCTTTACAAGTTAAACAAAGTTTCAATATTTTATTATTTGTATCCTCGATCTCATATGTACATCTCTTTAAATAAGTTAATAGTAAAAAGAGTTTGAACAAAATACATTTCAGAAAAAAAATGTTACAACTCAAGACAGTCTTATTGTATTATAAATTACATACCGGATATTTAATATAACACGCGATCTATAACATAGTCGATATAAAACAATAAATTTTGTATACAAACAAATCTTTCTCTTTCTCGCTCTCTCTCTCTCTCTTTGTGCTACCTGTGACTTGGTGTTTTCTAATCAAAATATGTCTTTATCGATACATTAAAAATTTGTTGATCTACTAAAAAAGAAGAGTACCGGACGTATGTCCATCTACTTACTCTTGACATAGACAATGGACTCATATTTTCTTCTTAAAAACAGTAAGAGTGACTCTTTTGTTCTCTTCATTTGGCATTTTTCGATCAATGTACCGATATTTCCGGGATCTACACAATCTTAGACATGCTATTTTACTAATTCATTAAAAACGCATGATATAAAAATTATAATTAAAGTATTTAAAAGGATTAATTATAATATCAATTACCGTCCAGTTGAAACATTTTTTGTTAATGCAGTAGAAAATACGGTTCTTAAATCTGGTGATATTGTTTGTAAATACATATTTGGAGATGTTAACCGTGATGAACGAAATTTTGCATATCCATAAGGATGATGATGAGGATGAGGGTAATGATGATGATGATAAGAATAAAAGCGATCTCCTTTCGTCATCGTAATAGTACGATAAAAAAAACAAAAATTATTAATTTACTAATAAACTTTTTTGTTTTGCGAAATGGAAGATGCGGTTGTAGTAATAAAGGGAAAAATAAAAGAAATGATATCCATGATCATTATCCACTTTCTTTTATATTTATATTTATATATGAAATCACAAAGTGAGTTTATCATGATGTTGTTGTCAGAAGAAAAAAAAATAATCATCATATATTGTACAACAATCAAAATACTCTAAAAACCTCTGGGGAATTTAGAGAGGGAAAAACTGATGGTAAATATTATTTTCAGGAAGAATTTTTTTTTTTTTTTGTCGAGTTTGCCAATTTATTAATGATAAGAAAAACAATTAAATATTCACTGCAGGACAGTAGGAAGCAGCATGTGTATACGTCTATAAAATGATTATACAATAACATAGACAAACATTCAAAACACTGTGAGGTCTTTACACGATATTCTTCCTTTTTTTTATTGACACTGGAAAACACAATATACGACATTTACATTTTTTTTCTGCCCTTGTCCTTTATAGACAAAAAAAAAGAATCCTATATATGATTTTTAAAGAGTAACCATTTCATCAATCGTCATATGAGGATAGAATTCGAAAAAATATAAAATATTTTGTTTAAACAAGATCATTTTTCCATAAAAATTCAAGTAGTTTGATGTTTACAATGATCCTTATACATCTCTTTAAACTAATGAGAAACGATGAACAAGTTAAATTGTAATAAACAAAACAAAATATAGATATATATATATATATCATTGTATATCTTTTTTAACATTTATATGTTTTAATATTGAATTATTTATACTTACACCGAGGTTCTTGCCGAAAGTCCGTGCATATTTGTTCAAAAAAATTTAATACAATATCTCGTTATAACGTAAAAAGAAAATTGTTTTTTTTTAAGGTTTTATTAACTGAACCATTCCATTAGTGTGAGAATCAGCTTCAATATAGCACATACAACATTATGAGACTAGAATTCATTTTTTTTTTTTTGAAATAACAGAGATACAACACATATCTGCATCAAAATTGCCTTCTATTTATTCTCTTTTTCTTCTTTTTCCTTTTATAATGTATAGTAAAGAAAACACAGCGTAGAGAAAGAGCTATTTTTCCTCACTACTATCATTCCGATTCCTTCAATGTTTTGTGTGTAATTGGAAAAAAAACATTTTGACCTCTATGTGCACAAATATATATATATATATATATATATATATTATTCATATATTACCCGTTTCTTTTTTTTCAAAAACGGAAGTTTAAACTGGAGAGACAACAGAACTTGCTGAACCTTCCTTTAGTTAAGGAAATTAAATTAAAAACCTCTCTCCCTCTTCTATTTTCTTCACGTACTATGCGTTCTTAATGACTGTTTAACACGGAACTATTAATCTATTACAACAACAAGTTAAGGCTAATTTTTATTCTCAAATATAAAACCTTTCAGTTTTCTTTCTTTATCTCTTATTGCATGCTGTCAAAAAAGAAAAAGAAGAAGAAAATATTTTCATATGTTTTTTGGGTTTTTTTTTATTTTTATTTTAGTATATTATGTGCTTCATTTTTTTATAGTCTTACTATACAAAAAAATTATTAATTCATTTTCAATGTGTGTTTGTGTGTGTGTATGTGTGCGTGTATGATGATGATTTCTAATAGCAAAGTGTCTGATTTGGTAAAAACTAAAAATATACCTGGTATGTGTTCTAAAAACCGGAAAATTTGTATGATATATAATGCTTCATTAAACTTAGAGAAAAAAACAGCAAAGGTTTCTCTCTTCTTTTTTTTTGTTTTTTTTATTTAAAAATAATCATGAAACAAAAAAAAAGAAGAAAATCTTAAATTTGTGCAGGAACAAATTCTTCGTAGGATATTCACATTGATGAACAGCACTTTCTTTTTTTTTTTATTTAGTGAAAACACATATTTTTTATTCATCCAAGTAGTAGTCAATGGTAAGAGTGTTTGTACATCGCTCAAAAACTTATTTAATACAGTTTTCATAGATGAAAAATGGTATTATTCTTTTTCTTTTAAATAAGTACTTACTTAAATTTTGAATAAAGAAAAAATGAAAAATACTTAAATGAACATATGAAATGTTGACAAAGGTATATATTATTCTAATTGTTTTTATTTTGTTTTTTAGTAATAGCAGATGCGATATGAGAAATTCAAGATACTCAAAAAATTATCAAAACATTTTAATGAGCTCAAAGAATTAAGTAAAAGGAAACAAATAAACAAAGATGTTTTCTAGAATCTAATTATCTATCAAGTTTAAAATCGATAAGTCGTATGGTATCAGTCGAACTACACATTCGATCTTATCTATTGTTAGTTTTATTTCAATAGTTTATAATTCAAAACTTTTGTCAAAAATCTCTTGTTGATGAATTATATTTTAGATTAGTTAAAGAGACTGACATATTTGGATAATGACAATGAAGAAGAGATTGATGATGATATCAACATGGTGAAGTCAAATGAAAGAAATGTTCAATGTTTACTGTACACGAATGAATAAATATGTAATAGATAACACATTGATATTTAATGAAAAAGAATAAAAAAGACCACATTTTACCTGTCGCCGCCACTAACAAATTCTCCAACCTTTAGGTCGTGGAGTTTTGTGGGTCTTAATTCTAAATCAAAATGTTCTATACGTTCTTCTTCGTGTCCTCGTTTTCCAGATGATGCTGAAAGTTGTTTTGTTCGAAGATTTGAAATGCTTGTTAAACTAGAAAAAAAAAAAAATGAAATAATTAAAAAATTAATATATTAAATGAATTTAATTACCGCTGGATCTCAGCTCGTTTTTGGCGGGGAGCCTTATTCATGAGCTCTAAATTAAAAAATAAAATAAACATAATTAATAATAATAAAAAAGAGAAAGAAAAGAAAATAATGGACATTTTTCAAAATAAAAAATCTTTTTGTTTTTTATATTTTACATTTGTACATGAACGAAAAATTGAGACAGAGAAATATCGAGATATCTGTTAAAACATTTTATTTGAGATTATAATTTATATAGAGAGAGTATCATACTCAAATTGAACGTAAACAATAATATAGGAAAATTTTCTAGTTTTTTACGTATGAATACATAGTGACATTCTATTTATATTTTTAATCATACAATGTTAATAAAACTGTTTTATAATTCAGCCTTGAAAAGCCAAGATATATAAAGTAATAATAATGATAATAATAATAATAATAATGATAATTTTTCAAGATATTCTCTTATTGTGCATGTATGTATGCTGTCAATGATAAATGCGAGAGAAGATATATTGTTAAAACTAGTGTTAGAGGTACCTATTTTACTGTAATAAAATCAACTTTATTTCCGATCAAAATGTTGATAAATTAGTTTTATTTGGTAACAAAAATAGTGAAAAAAAATATATATGAAAACTTCTGCATTGAATTGATATAGACAGATTTTATTAAAAATTAATTACCTCAAATTCTTTATTTTCATAAATATAAACTCTCTTATTTAGATTATATCACCCGATAAACGTTATCGTATAATATATTAATGATATTATTCATTTAACAAGACATTATGCAAACAAAAAAAGATGTTGACAATTTAACCTATATTGAAGAGGAAGATGACTATTGTCACTCAAACAGCTGTAGTGATCTTGATTATAACAGGGATAAATAAGAGATTATTAAAAAGTTGGATCAAAATGTCTATAAATTATCATCACATTTCAAAAATAAAAGATGAATAAAATTTTGAATTTAAAAAATAAAAAATATACATAATGACCTTATACAATATGATTTTCTAATGAGTCTAGAATCTACTCTATACTATGTTTTGTGTTTATTTTTTTGTTTTAGAACTAGCTGAAGCTCTTTGCTCATTTCAAATTAGAATAGTTGAGAAAGAAAAAAGCCTACAGCGCGTATGACCCAAAAACGATCTAAGAAATCGAAATTATACGAATGAACAAAAATGGTATTCGCTAAATCTTTAAGAGTAACATCTCTCTTTTTTACCTGTGCTATATTCATAGACAAAGTCCAAAAACATTTCTATTAACTTTCAGTTACATTTCTTGTGTTCTATATCATAACAGAAAAAAAAAAAGGAAAAAATAATCGGTCAAAATGATAGAGATCTTTGATTAGAAAATACGGTTAAACGTCTTTGTCAACATGATATAGATTTGATAACTAACGCATGAAGAGATTAAATAGAAATGAATTTTGAACAGAAATATTGTCAGCTTATGACTTACAGTTACACGATTAAGTTTAATCTACTACATAAGATGACAAGTTAAAGGATAATAATGTATGAGAGATGATAGGAAAAAACAAGATTACTGCGGTTTGTCTTAGAAACGTTTATCTTAATATTAAAGCTTAAATCAACGTTTATTCGTATTATTTTCCAACGAAATTTCGATAAATAATCGAATTTTTAGACACATTTTCTTAGACTTTGTTGTCAAAGTGAAAATAAACAAATTTATAATACTAAAATATTTACCGTCATCTTGTCGTCTTTAACTTAACTTTAGATATAAATCACAAATTATTTTTGCATATTAAAGTTATTTTAGATGAGTTTTTTTCTGTTATCCAATGGGAAAAATAAATTTTAAATTTATGACAACCTAGCTAATTTGTTTCTCACCTTTGATCGGTTTTTCTTTCGATAAAACTACAAAAAAGAATGGGAAAATATGCCTTCAGAAATAGTATTAATTGCCAACAAAAGAATAATGTTTAATTAAACAAAACATTTGTAATACTACGTTAAGTACAATACTTTCGTAATGAACTTTCCACTCAGTGGATTAATAGCTAAAAGTTGTTTGCAAACCTGTATCAAACTATTAGAAGGCACTTGTTCTCTCTCTCTCTCTTTCTCTCTAAGAAGCATAGGTGGAACGAATGAGTTCATATCATCAAAATAAAACGATGTTCAATAACAAATTTGTCCGTGTCTAGTTTGCCTGATCAATTCAATCTTCTCAAACAAAGATATTACCAAAAAAATCGGTATATTTCGTAAGACATCAGCATCTCTCTGTGGCTACTTTATCTTCTGTCCTTGATGCTTACTCGTAAATTTATTGCATATACTGTAATCCGAAGCATCTATCTACATTTGAGATAGTTATTAAGGGTACCCCCCTCTTTTTTTGCAAAAAAATTGTCATTTTGAGCTGAACATAGCCCAATGTAGAGGAAAGTCTGGGCTATAAAATGAGACCACTTCCGGCTCTCCATGACCTTCCTTGAAAAAATTACGAAGCTTTTAAGTTTTTCCTTCAAACCCTAGAAAACTCAGTTTTTAGGTTCGTAAATTTTTCTCTCCTTTTCTATATATTCAAACTTTTTTCTTATATATAGCATGATAGAAGAAAGTGTGCTCTTCAAAAATAGATATTTTCCAGAATTTTCCGATGAGTTTTCTTAGAGATATAAACATTGCCGCAAATACCCTGAAAAACAGAGCCGTGTGAACAATATGTGTTTTTCTCACTATGCGTTTTGTAATAGTCCCTTCAATTGGCACACATTACGACCCCTCGAAAAAATGGTCCGATCGAGCTCAAAATTTTACCACAGATACTTCAGACTCTATCTCAGGTTTGTTTGTTTTTTAAAGCGTTTTCGATTTCAACTTTCGGCGTGAGAAGGTTTTCAAAGTGAAAAACCAGTTTTTTATATGGGATTTTCAGTATTTTCCGAATATCTCGACAAAGAAAGCATATTTTTCAAAAATAAAAATACGAACCTGAGATAGGATCTGAAGTATTTGTGGTAAAATTCTGAGCTCGACCTTAAATGCCCGAGGTAAATGTTCAGTACAAAATACACTAAAAAATTCTCTATTATTCTCTATATTAGAAATGAATTGTTTAATAAATGAAAAGGTTATTTGTATGAATTCAACAATTATTGTTTTAAAACTTTTCTTTAAAAAATTAATTTTTATCGTTTTATGCTAAAATTTATCATTGCAATGATGATAAAAAGTGTTTTGATTAGTAAAGATGATATGAGATATGTCACTTTTTTCAGAATATTTGTGACAATGTTCATATCTTCGCAAAAAAACATTGGAAAAATTTGACCCAGATATCTTTGTAAAGAGAAAACCTTTCCCTAGTGAATGTACTTGCATGCAGGTACTTGGTCGAGTACCTTCACAAGTTTTGTCTAACGTTCTTGCGCTTTTTTACAAGTAAACCAAGTACTTGCTAAGAAAATCCAGTGCTTGAATTACTTTATCTTCTTGTCAAGTTCTTTGCCAAGCACTTGCCCAAGTAACCCCCAAGTATCGATGGCAGGAATAAGTAAATCAAGTACCTGATAAGTGCTTTCAGGCATTTATCAAGTAGTATTTTTTGAAAATACTTGTCAAGTGCTTATCAAGTACATGTGGAAATCTGCGAGTAAACAAGTACCCATTTGCAAGTACATTCACTAGGATTTGCTCTATCAGACTATGTAGAAGAAAAATTTAAAGACACTGGAAGGAGAGAAAACTTATGAAACTAAAGAATTTCAGTTTTAGCAGCTTTTTGAGCAAAAACTTAAGTTAAAAAACTTAAGTTCATAAGTTTTCTAGAGGTTTATGGTTTCTCTTAGAAAAGAAATATTGCCACGATAGTTAGAGCGGTCGATAACCTAACTTTCTATTGATTTCTGCGATTATCTAGACATGTGCAGATACAGTTCTCAGGCAATCATGAAACTGATGCCAATCACAACCGCTGATTGATGAAGAGTTCGCATTCATGTGAATGTGTAAATGATCATTTATGCGAGCGAAAAATCTATTTTAATTTCATAGAGGGCATCGAGTGACAGGTACATCGGGTATACTATCTTCAGGTGAGAATTTGAGCTTTACTTTGCCATGCGTATATCTTACGTGTCGGTTAAAAGGCCTTCGCCTCTCTTCCATCAAACAATACTAAGAAAATATCCACGGACATTATATTTGAAATAGATAGTACTATCCATTTTCAAATTTAATGTGATCGAATATCTTCAAACGTTTGGTAGAGAAAAATTTAATCTATTTCTTTATATATTTCCTGTCAAAAATCTTGGATTTTCAGATGATGTAGCTAACGGATATTTCGCACATATTCATACTTCATGTGTTTGTCTTAGACATATTTATCTCACTACTTTGCAGTCGTAGTACGTTGGAGACGAATGAAAGCCCAGATTATCGACTATATTGAATCTTGTAACAATGTTTATTTGCAGAATATAAACGAGAAAATATGAGATTTGCTGAAAATACTCTAGTTTTAGCTATGTACAAAAATGAGAAGTTCATACTTCACTTAAAATACGCCAAATGATTTGAAACGTTCCGAACGTGATCAGATGAGTAGATTGAGCACTTAGAAAAAGCCTCAAAAATTGTAAATTTATCTTTTTGCTTAAGTCAATTTTCTAAGAGTCCGCTGAAAATCAAAGAGATAAAAAACAAAGATTTTTAGTTTCCTGGTCCTGTCAACATGCAAATCAAGTAAAAGAAAGTATTATCTGAATGTTTTTGGTTGTTCAGTTTGACTTTACTTGAGATACGAATATCTCATTACGCTAATAGCTAAAATTAGACTATTTTCAGCAAATCTCATGTTCACGAGATTTTCTTGCTTATTTTCTGCAAATAAACATTGTTATAAGATTCAGTATGTTTTCATTCGTCTCCGACGTATGACGACTTCAAATTAGACATCAGATCAACATGTGATAGACATGAGTTAAACATATCTGAAGAAAATGCCGCTATTCCAGAAATCACATGAACTATAGATGTCGGACTTTAAAATAA